CCAGCTTGCTATGATACAGTGACAGCATGTACCTGAGAGATTTGGCAGTACCCGAGACTAAACATTAATTTTAGTTCAGATGGCAGGGTGGGAAAGACCCTTTAAATTCAAAAGAAGTAACAGATTAGGTGAAAATGCTTTTAAATGCAAAGAACAATAAAAGGATCAGTATTCAGAATATGTAAAGAATATTTACAAATCAGCAAGAAAAAATACAGTAAAGTATAGTAACCTCACTTGCATTCAAAAAAATACAGCATAGAAAAAAATCCGATTGGCATAATTGAAAAATTTGATAATATGTAGTGTTGATTGAGGTATAGGAAAATAGTTTATCTTCTGTCAGAGTATAAGGTGACTTAGTCATTTAAAAATGCATTTGTTACAGGGGGCTGAAGATGTGGTTCAGTTGGCATAAAGCTCACCTATCATGTGTGAGAGCCTGGGTTCAGTCCTTGCCCCTCAAGTAATTTGTTACTGTAAGAAATGTGTATATTTTAGGGCCCAGCTATTTAATTTCTCCATGTCAGCTTTGAAAAAGCTCTTGTATTTAACACACAGTGAGGCATGCACATGTGTATGCAGTGCAGCATCACTTAAAATCATGAGAATTGAAATGCAACTCAGTGCCCAGCAAGGCAGGAGTGGCCAAGTAAACCATGGTGCATCCAGAACATGTAAAACTATCAGCAGTTATATGGAATGAGCTAGAACTGGGTGTGTTGGGGAAGAAAAGGATCTCCATGAGAGGCTGAGAAAACAAGTTGTGAAATAGTCTATAAGGTGTGATGTGTCACCATTCATTTAAAAGGCAAAGGAGGGAAGAAGAGAGGGATAGGAGGGACTGAGGAAGAAAGAAGGACAGAAGGATAGAAAAGAAGAAAAGAATACCAGAGACTTTCTATAGTAGTGGCTTTCAATATCTTTTGGAAATAACCCTCAATAAGATACACCCGTCATGTCTTGATGGAGTGGACCCTTACTACATGAGACGTACTCTGAAATTGTTCTATCCTCTTCTAATTTGCTTCATTCCCTTTGTCAAATGGAATGAATCGAATTACAACACATTAAATTGATTTCAGGACTCAAGCATAGTTTGGAAAGTAGTGTTCTGGAGATACACACACACACACACACACACACACAAAACACACAAATGGATAGAAAAAGTCCAAAAGGCAATACACTAAGTTGATATTAGGGATTATCTTGGTAGGTGTGGGAGTGTGGGGTGGTTTCTAGGGAGCCTGAGCATCATTTGTAATACTTATATTTTGATCATTTGCTGTTTTATAAGGAACAAACATAATTAAACATCTGAAATTTAGTTTTTTGAATAAGCCATCAAAACTATTTTTGAAAGTCAAGAATTTACTGGGATTAAGAAGGTAGTGGTTAAAAGGTCTTAAGGGAAATAATTTTCAAGTTAATTTGCATAATTGATCAGTTCCCAGAGTAGGCAACCTAGCTAACTCTCTCTGTTTTTGTATTTAGGGCCACAGATGAGCACATACTTGTGGCAAGGTAGAGTCAAACCTGTGTGATATCCCACCCCAAATGTCATCACAAGCCTAAGAGCTCTCTGCCAATGCCGTGAGATTTTAACTTGTTACCTATGGCTGTCATGTCTACCAATAAAAAATACAAAGTAGTCAATGTGAAATGCTAAAAACCCAAGCCCTTCCCCCCCAGCCCCCTGCCATTTTCAGAAAATGCAGAGTTAATGTTTCTGTAGTAGCATCAGCTTGGCCACATCACCTGGTCTCCATTTTTTTTGCTATGGATCTGAACAAAGAAAGGGTTGCATTCTGAGCATTGTTCCTGCAAGGACTTTCACTGTAGAAAATGTGGCAGGTGTACACTTGGCCATCTCTATAAGCTGGAGCAGACAACTCCCATTTTCTATTTTACAGTTACGTTAGTGCTTTCTGATTTACCTTCATATATTTACCCTAAGGGTAACTTATTAAACCTCATTTTAATGATCAAATAATTAATGCTTAAAAAGAGACAGAGTATTCAGGGGAGATAAATCCTTTAACTTCCAAATATTTAAGCAAGATGTTGACTGCAGCTGACATAGAATCTGATTATGTCTTGTGCTAATATTTCAACTAAAGATACATAGTAAAGAGGATGTTTATATTTTATTCTTTTATATGTTTTAAATATAAATTTTAATATGCTTATAATAACACATGTTAACTCTTATACCGCTACACTACATTTTCTCTTTAAGTGTTTTGTAAACAAAGAATTTATGGTAAATATGCAAGCTTTCTCAGAAAGCACTTGAATAAGAATCATTTTGAAAAAAATCTTAATGATTGCTAAAGCAGTGATTATATTCAAGTTTAATTTCATATGGTTTGATGTTGTTTGGAAAGAAGAAAAGTGGATCATAGAAACTGTTTTTTTTAAAGGTAATTATTAAGGGTTACAGAAAGCATGCTGAAAGCTAAGGGCAGGGAGAGAAAGGATATCATAAGGCACATATCTGAAGTCCCTTTTCCATGTCCTCCCAAGGGAAGTTAGAGGTAAGAGGAGGTCGAGTTGGTCTGATAGCCATCATAGGGATCAAGTTCTTCCCTTTAAATAGCCTCATATCAGACTAACAGGTGTCAAGTTGTGTATGAGTGGCTGATATAGCTTTATAAGGAAAAGTCAGGAAAAATTATAAATGTGCCCAGCTTAGGCCTAGGATGAAATTCAGGTGAAAATTATAATTCATAATAACCAAGGATTTAAAAAGTACTTAATTCTAGCTAAGAGAAGTTTTGTTTCTCTGTAACATTGCCTATTTGGTGTTTGTGTTTATTAGTTGGGACAAAATTGGTTTTAAAATATTTTATGGAGGATATAATGAATTTAAAATTTAAAATCATTATAGCCACTTAAGTATATCTGAAGCTGGGCTTTTCAGTGGCCACAGTATTCAAGGCACCACTTCCTCCTTGCTGAAATTGCAGGAGAAATATCCAGTAGACAACTGGTCTTGCAAATGACAGGTACAATCATTATTTTACTTAGAAGCTTGAGAAGTAAAGGGAAGGAATTGTTTATTCCAAATCATAAAATATTACAGGGTTTCTTCATGTTGTCTCATTTATAAGATGAGGTCTTTCCTTTAATTTTTTTTTTCAGAAAAGTATAACATTTTTTTACTAATATCATCTTTGAAAGAGAACTTGACTAACTGTGGAATTTTTCACCCACAGCATCTGCAGGAATTGCTGTGTCCCAGAGGAAGGTGCGTCAGATCAGTGATCCCATCCAGCAAATACTAATCCAGCTGCACAAAGTCATCTATATCACACAGGTCAGTGTTCCAGCCTTCTATTTCTTTTCCATCTGAAACACAAGTTTGGTGCTAATACCGCTGAAGAACTACCTTGTAGGACTTCCAGCTGAGTGAACACTTGTTTTTATCTCCTCCCAGGACACACGTGTAGGGAGACTTCTTGGCAACCAAGCTGGGAGGGCAACAGGGTGAAAAAACAAGTAGGTCAGGGTTTCCCTGTGTCTTCTTCCTGCTCAGCCAGAAGCAGACTTCCACACAAATGGCCCTTCCTTGTGTGAGTTGGGGCAGCGGGGGTGGGGGGAGGGAATGGGAATAGAGCTGGGCTTACCACAGGAAATAGTGCTCCCACCACCATTCTTAATCTTGAGGATGCTCGGTTGACACTAGGAAGGCTCAGAGATATGAAAGCCAAAAACCACACAAAATCCAGGATTATTAAGATTTTCTATTTGTAAATCTCAGAGACTTAGGCACTGAGGAAAAAGAATCAGTGTTGAAAAGTATCTATAAATGATGGACAGAAACCTGTCTAGTGAAAACAACTTAAAATATTCGTTAAGAACTGTAACCATTTGAACAAGAAAGTCAGTATTATGTTGAAGTTTATGACTGTATGTTATAGGTAGCTTATTGATATATTTGCTCACTGGTCATGTGATGACTAATTGCCTACCATGAGCCAAACACAATTCCAGTTATTTGGATCGATCAGTGACCAAAGCATAAACATTTCCTCACTGTAAGATTCAAAGATCCAAGCAGAATCTAGTGTGCACCAGTGACTCAGGAGAAGACCAGCCTCAAAAAAAGAACTGGGTATGTAACTTGGTGGTGAAGTACCCCTGGGTTCAATCCTCAGTACCAAATAAATAAAGAAAGAAATAAGATTCAAAGATTCTGTCTTGGGTTGCTGTCAGTAGCCAACTTTGGCAATTCCAATTTTTCATTCAAGTCCTGCAGAGAAATATCTAAAGATCAGTGGACCAGCTGGGATCATTATAAGTGCAAACTTGGGCTGATATTTCATTTATCACCTGAATACCCTTCCTGCAAAAAGATAAAAACAAAACAAAGCAAAATACTTTTTGATTGGTGCAACACAGTAGCATTTTAAGACTCTAGGAATTTGCATCGGTTTTTAAACAGTGTCTATTATTCCCAGAAAATCTGTGCCTCCTTTTCCCCAGTGTACAATCACTGCAGTAAATGGCTGCAGATCTCTATGGGAAGGCTTGGAGGAAATGATATAGTATGTTTCAGGACCCGCCTCCTCATGGCATCCCAGCTTCCGTATGATCCAAGGGGCTCTGGGCCCTTTAGTTGACTTAGGTCTGGAAACTATATTGGAAACTATAACAGTGGCAATGGCAACTCTGGTCAGGATCTTGTCTGCCAGATCTGGAGCTTCTCTTCTGTTTCTTGGGCTCAGAAATGTCCTAGTAGGCTGACTACTAATTTTCTTCCCAGGAACACCCTAGTTAATTAATTACCATCAAAGATCTCTCTAACTAACAGAATGTTGCTGCTACCTTGTCATGAACGCTCACCACTTGTCACATGCTTTCAAATGGCCTCTGCCCATTGGATACATTGGAATACTGTGTCCTTCAGTGTCATAGCTGGCTTACAAAGGAGAGCAACCCTGGAGCCTTCTAAGATGCTCCCCTCTCTGAGTATTTCTCAGTGCCTTACTGAAAGAAGAGCGTTTGGGGTGTTCTGTCTGAAAAGCGGTGGGGGAGTGAACGTGCAGATCACATCTAGTAGATCCACTGCAATGTTCCTGTTCCTCTGAGCCTTTGGATTCCCTCCTCCACGTGCCAGAGAAGTTCTGGCACTTTACCATTGTGAAACACAGGCCACCACTGAAAATCAGTTTCAGTCCACCAAATAGTTAAGCTGCACCTCCATCTGCTGAACTAACACATTAACTCTCTACTGTGTGCACCCACATTGATGAATTCAGTCTGGTCTTGTGCTATATTTTATCCTTCCTGGCCTAACATCCTTAGAATCCACTTCTGCACATGTTCTCTGGCTGGTTGCTAATATATAGTAGCAAAATCTTGCAATTCTTTTTGAGGATAGGTTATTTCCTCCAGAGTGGTGGTGGATACTAATTTCCCTAGATCATAGTGAGATACATCTCTGGCTATGGATTTGGTCCTCATGGTTGTGGGTCTTATGAAGAATGGGTATTTCTTTTAAAGACATCTGTTCTCATTGATTTTATCACCCAGTTTTCAAGCAAAGGGAGGCTTGTTTTCTTAGACACAGAGCAACAAGCTCCTTTCGTTAACAATGAAGGCCCAGAGTGACTTGGGTTTTAAGATTGTCAGCATGATCTGGGCTCAGCGAGATATCCCTATTCTAGTTTTTAGTATTCTTTTCTTTTTTTTCTAACATTCACATGAAAAACTTGATGAAGTGTGAATTCAACTGACATTGTAATTTATCAGCCTTCCCAATTAAATTCAGCATTTGATTATCAGCCATATCAGTGCTTTGGCAGCACAAAATAACAGGTTATTTTGGAGCTGTCATGGAATCTTCCTGGGTCTCAGATCATGACTTGAACAGACAGTTAAAAGACTCACACTTGTTACTTTATCAGTGCTCCAGTGCACTCAAAAAAGTCCATTCCATACCACAGTCCTTTTGGTCTTTCTTGTTGCCTGACCGTCAAGTGCAGTGGCCATTTGGGCTTTAGTCAGCATTTCATCGAGGTGATGAGCTGTTCAGTTGTGGTGCCACTAAATGAAATAATTGTCCTGTTGGTGACAAACCAACCAACCAAATTCAGCATCGATCCAAGGACACAATCATAACACTCCTCAAATCCCATCTTTGGGGTCAAGCTCCTTGAACATTCCTGGAACCTTTATCTGGTATCAGTGAAGGTCCAGTCAGAAGCCACACAATTATGTTAGTCAGCTTTCCCTCACTGTCACAAATACCCAAGATAATCAACTTATAAAGAGAAAAGTTTTAGGGGTTTATTGTGGCTCACCATTTTTGAGATTCCAGTCCATGATCAGTTGGCCCTTGACAGGCCTGTGTCAAGGCAGTATATCATGGTAAAAGAACATGGTGGTGCAAATCCTCTCACCTTGTGTCTGAAGAGTAAAAGAGAGGAAAAGGAAGGTGCTGGGGTCTGACTGTCTTCTTCAAGTGCAGGTCTTCAATGACCTGAAGTCCTCCCATTAGGCCCCGCCTATTAAAGTTTCTACCACCTCAGTTGTGCCTCCCTGGAATCATGCTGTGAACATCTGGGCCCTTGGGGGACATTCCACATTCAAACCACAACAGTAATTTCAACAAGGAATGTTTAATATAATAAATTATTAACTATAACAGAATGTTATCTACTGATGATGAGGAAAGAAATCCAAAGCATATAGGAATAGCAGATAGAGAAGTCATAAGCTCTAGGACTGAGGCAGAGCACCTAACAAGGAAACAAATATGAACACTACTTACTCTGGATTGAGGTCCAGACCTCACTGGAAAGGTCAGAGAAATTTGCAAAAGTGTCATGCTGGGGAAAGTTGATCAGAAGCCTCCCTCTGGGGACCAGAGTAAGACATCACATGAGGTACCATGCTATGGAAGTTGTTGGGAAATCAGCACTGAATGGTGTTGGTATATACTCTCCACGGAATCAGGGGAGACTACCCAGAAGTAGGTGTTATTTCATAGAAGTCTCTGGAAAGCCACCCACAGTCAGTGCTACTGAATGTGACTTGGGGTGACCTCTTACCACTGGGGTGTCACCATGCACCCACTGGAGCAAGGCAACAGCATCGCTGGACCAGAGAGATGAGCTCCATCCTCCCTCAGGGTCCTTCTAGGGCCTTCCTATGGGTGAGGTTGGCATCCAGACAGCTGGTGAAGGAGAGCTGTGTTGGTTTCACATTCAGGTCAGTCAAGGGCAGACTTGGAGCCGACAGGCACTGATCAGTGGCACCCTTAGCCTGGGGACTAGGCAAGCAACTCTCTGGCACCACCCACACCCCCTCTGATTTCTGCTTGTTCTCCCTCCCTCTGCTCTCTGCCCCTAGACTGCAGAGCCTCTTCCATGCGTCGGGTTGAGCAGTCTGGTTCTTATGTCAAATTTTGTCCCAAATCTATTGTTCTTTTTGGTCACCCTGATGCCTGCTCTTTTAGATGCAAAAGCCAAAATTGATTACTTTTCCCTCTTTTTTCTGCCATCCTTTTTCTTTTTGTGGTTACAAAAACCTTTCCAAGTAAATGAAAGGGGGTGAAGGAGTACAAGGAAATATGATGTGTATGGGGAGGAGGGAAGCCTGGTTAATAAATAAAAATTGTTATCTGCTCTCTCTTATAAAGTATTGTATTAAAAATGCATCTCCATTTAACCATTGATATGGAAACATGGAAGACTATTCTTAATTCTAGTATTATAGAAATAGTTTAAATAACTTTTCAGTTACCTCAACTAGTATCTATTAAATTCAGAGAAATATCCTTTGAAATTTAAGTACAGCTTCCATATGCCTGTCTCAGTAATTTTGATGTAAAAAAGGAAAAAAGTTTTTAATGGGGTATATTCCATTTCTTTATTGAATTTCAAAGTATTTTTAAAGCAAGAATAAAACTATTGTAAATATCTGATTATTATGCTTTTAAACTGCCAGTGTGACAAATGGGTTCGCATTTTTTTTGGCAGAATGGCTTTCCTTACTCCAAGTGAAGATATAACTATCATGGTTTTTCAAATGTGTTTCAGAATGCTGGAAAGTTCATGACATTGCACATAGTAAGCAATGATTCCCCTCTGGGGAACTTTAACCTACAGCGCTAAACAAAGTCGATGCTTTTGACACAAAGAAAAAAATACAGGCCTAATCATTATTCTAGGGTATGTGATGTAAGTTAGAGAGAGACCAGGTCAGTTTTCTCTTTCTGCTAATTGCAAAGGAAACTTGGAGAAAGCAAGGCTGAATTGAGAAACGAATCAACCAACCAAACAAACCCTTCTTTCTCTCATGTTTATGTACTTAAGCTTGGTGGCTGCCCTGACCTGCGGGCCACATACTTCCTGAAAACCCAAAGATGAACTTTTAGGGCAGACTTCTTGCCTTTGGCTGGTGGTGGCCTTTCCTGTCCAGTTGCCATGGAGACAGACCTGTGAAAATCACTTAAAAGCAACTATTTTACAAGGCAGGATGTTCAAAAATCCTTACTCTGCCTTCAGTGATTTGACATCTGTTTCCTTCAAAACTAAAATGGTAATCTTAAGACCAGGAAGCTAAGAATGAAATCTGTGGGTTCGTTTTCATTGGCAGAAACCAAAATCGATCTTTGGCCTATAAGGTGACTACAAGTACACAGGTGACCTTTTAGTATGAGTTTTTATGTGTTATTGCTTAGGTAAGAGCTGCACAGCCAAATTAAGGCTGGAGTTTAAGTCTGTTCTGTGTTTTTGATTGTCTTCTTAAATAAATGTGTCGAAAAATCAGCATTTATCAACTTTTAAAAATTAAACATCTATCTCCAAGAGACCAGGCAGACAGTTCTGGTTGCAGATCTTCATGACTGCTCATCTTAACAGACACAATCATTACTAACAGGAAAAAAAATGCACAGCAATGTGCTGTCCTCAAATGAAAATAATATTACTGGCTGTCATCAGGGAAACATGCAGTTTTTTTTTTAATTAAGAATTTTTTTTTAGTTATAGATAGACATAATACCTTTATTTTATTTTATTTTATTTTATTTTAATGTGATGCTAAGAATCCAACCCAGTGCCTCTCACATGCTAGGCGAGCACTGTACCACTGAGCCACAACCCTGGCCCCTCGTGCAGTGTTTTGTAGCAAATGATGGATAAGAATTTAACCATTCATACTCACTCACCTGGATCACCTGCTTACTAATGGCAAGGTGACAGAGATTAACCAGAACAGGATATTTAGGGTAAATCTGTGTTACTCAAATCAACATATGTTTTCAGGGTCTGTAAATTCTAAGAGAAGTGTTACATTTATGTGAGTGTGTTTGGATGATCGTCTTTGAATACCTCATCTAGCATTTAGGAAAATTTCCTCTTAAGCAATAACATGTCAAAATAACTTTTTCAGAAATAGAATCAGATACTGGTTTAGGTAACTATCAGATGGAGCCCTATGGACTGCTAGTGGTCTGCTGATGTATTCTTGGACAGAGAATTTGGTTCTTTAAAAAGAATATATACATTATACAAGTTTGAAAAAACCTACTAGAAAATGTACAGGTTAGATTTCATAATTTTTCTTTTGTTACTTTGTAAGGTGTAGTAAAGCAAACAAAATATAAGCTGTCAAATCTTTGGCTTTTGAGAAAGTCATTACGTTTTCTAGAATTAGTTTCTTTGCTCATAAAATGGGAGATCTTCTGGGATTACCATGAGCCTTGAAGAAAATAAAGTATATGAAAATATTAATAAACTATAAAGTGCTGTCCTGCAGTGACTAGTATGTTGGTATTTGCTTTAGGGTAGTGATTGTTGCTAGAAGACTTACTACTTCAGAAAGTGTATTGCATGTTATATAAGGTCTTTAAGTTCTGATTTCCTCGCCCGTAAAATAAGTGCTGCTTTATGATTTTGTTGTGGGTAAAAAGTATGATCATGCCCATAAAAGAGTGATCATGGTGCCTAGCACGTATGAATCATAGGTATTGATTTTCTATTATTGGTATGATAGTTCTTGTGCATAACATATCATTATACTCACATCATCTGCAGTTCAGCTAAGCATGAGTCATCATTCTAAAATTTAAAATTCTTCCATAAAAACTTTAACAAGGAGATGCTGTCTATGGGGATCATTATTCCAATAAGATGCAATAGCTTTCTAATACTTCCCAGTGTATGGATCTTTAAGTTGACTGAATGTTAGCTCATTCGAATGAGTTTCATGCAATTTATGCAGGTCATCTAGAGCAGTAAATGCAATTAGTTCTAAGTTAAATAGAGGCTTATCAAGTTAAATAAACAGCAAGATTTTTTCAGAGTATCTGAATGAATTCGGTACTGATAGCTGCCAGAGTACTGGGCTGAGGGCCCTTTGGAAGGAACCATGAGCCCACCAGGTGCTTCACACCTTCAAGAGTTTGTTGCACAGACAGTACTTGCTGCCTTTCCCTTGGACAGCTGTGCTGCAATCACACTGGGCCACAGACATAAAGTCCTGGGCCGACACTGCCCTCTGGTGTTTGATTCAGTGAGGTGGCAACTTCTGGTGTGCAACAATAGAGAATCCTCCAAACCCCATGTCTCTCCAGGGACTTTTCCCATCCCCTCCCTGCTCAACCCAAACCTTCGCCAGGAAGGTATGTGTGTGTGCCTCTCCCCTTCATTGTCTGTTCCTATTGTACATTAAATCCATTCTTCTTTTGCTTTTCTTTCCTGCACACATCTATCTTTTATGCTCATTTCCATTGTCTGTCTTCCCACTCTTTGCTCATTAATGCTCAGAAATATCGCTCCTTTATCTTACATGATTTCCCCCTTCCATCTCATGTGAAAGGACCGTAATAATTATGACCATTTGCTGCGGGTATGGGGAGGAATCAAGTTGGGATCAAGGGAAGAGATAGCTATAATAGTGACATCAAAAGAGATCAGTGAAGTCTTAGTGCTGCCAGATGATTAAATCCTTCAAAGCACTCAGAAGGGCTCAGTATCTCCAGAATAATCCATTTCCCCCCTTGTTAAGCCTACTTTAGCTCAAGCACAAGGATTACAGGTACATTTAAAAGCATTTTGGGGGGGTCTGGGGATGTAGCTCAGTGGTAGAGTGCTTGCTAGTGTCTCTCTCCCCCCCCCCAATCTTTTCAGTTGCCCTGTGTTTCTGTGTTGTGTAACTATAAAACTTCATAACGGGTCCTGCATTGTATCAGGTTTGGGATTATGAACAATTGTTCCTTGGCTACAAAATCAGTCATCACAAACCCCAAAGACCCTATGCTTTGCTCTTCTATTGCCTTTTACATGAATTTGAGTGAATAGATGTTCTTTGTGTTATTCAGAATAGGGTGAGTTGTATGCCACTAAACAGTACTCCCTCAAATCCCTTGCCTTGACACCATAGAAGGTGATTTCTCACTCAGGCTGACCGTGTCGAGGCCATGCCATGTAGAAGAGATGGACTCTGGGCCACAGTAGGGAAGGACAGAGATGGAGGGAGCACCCTGGTTGTGTAAAGGAGGAGAATCCCTTCATCCTTAGAGTGATACACACCATCTTATTGGCCAAAGATAGCCACGTGACACCAACCAGAACTGGAAGGAATCCCAGAAAATCCTAACTGTCTCTCCATGTCATTCTTTCATTTGATCTGAGCTTTTACTTATATCCTGGGTCTCTTCCCATCGAGCTATCTGTTTTCTTATCTGTTCCTCTTCCCCTTTCAAGATCTCCCAATAAGCAAAATGGAACACTTTGTCAACCCTGAGACTGCTTATAATGCTGAACCTGGTTCTTTTCTGTTATCCGTCTCCCAGACTTCACTTCATCCCTCTGCGCTTCTTGGGATCTTTCACTTCCTGTGTAAATCCAACCTGCAAAGCACTACAAATCATTTTTTTTTTAATTCCCTGTTTCCATCTAGTTACCATATTTTCTAAGATTCCACAATGACTTTCTACATATGTGTTAAGTCTCACTCATCCTGGCCGGGCCCTAATATGTACTAATCTGTTTTGTCTGTCTTCTGAATACAAGCAGTTCCTAAAATCCAATCTCTCTCCAGCTGAATTTTCAGGGGCACTCCCAGGCAGGTGACTGTGAACTGTGGTAGACATGCATTTTCTGGTCTAAAGTATCAGATTCTTTATGACAAGGGCCACTGCCAGGGTGTTTACCCATGGATGGTTCTGAGTGTGCTATAGATACCTGTGCTATACCCACCTAGACATTATCAAATGTACCCTACTTTGTCAAGGCTGTTCTTTACAAAATTCAATATGTGTGTAATTAGTGAATGGTTTAGTTGTTATATGAAAAGTAATATCAATGAGTATAACAATGATAAGATAAATGGAAGCAGACCTTTTGAAAGGCAGCGATTTATTTTACTACTTTGGCGTCATAAGATTTTTAAAAATCATAGCACAGAGTCGTACTAATTTGGAATAAAATTTAAACGATTGTTTCGCCCCCTTGGCTGCACATTGTTCCATCGGCCCCCTGTAAATGCTGCCTGTGGTCAGCAATGCAGTGTTGAGTATTTGGTTTTAATGATTATTTTCTGATTTCATACAGCTTCCTCCGGCTTTGCACCACAATTTGAAAAGAAGAGTTATAGAGAGATTCAAGAAATCCCTCTTCAGCCAGCAGAGTAACCCTTGTAATTTGAAATCTGAAATTAAAAAGGTATGGTATTCTATATATAGGAATTCTTTGGCTGATAAAACACATCAGTTACATCTTATTCTTCCTTCATTTTGTGCTTTGAACTCTATCCTCTATTAAAGGGTTTTATCACTGCTTAAAATACCAAATCAAGTGTAAGTCTTAGCTTCTCCCAAAGGTGAGAGCCTTTGTTTCTTTAGCCATTATTTTCAGATGCTAATAGAGTTCTTTCAGCATTATTATGTATTTTCCTAAGAATAAATGTTATCATTTATTTATTTGTGGTGCTGGGGGTTGAACCCAGGGCCTTGTGCATCTGAGGCACACACACTCTATGAATTGAGCTATATATCCCCAGCCCAAGAATAAATGTTATTATATATCTAACTTAATGTGTGTATATTTCACATATTTTAGATTCCACCCCAATATTTTATTAGAAGGAGTCTACAGGGGATCCCCAAGTTGAACTTTGCCCTTTTAAAAAGGCAGTTGATGCTCTGAGACCACAATTTTGATGATTTGTGAGAGGGCTACATGAACTATTTCTAATGTTTTTTTTTTTCCCATCTTCAGCAATCTCCTAAACTTGAGGTGCTAAAAAATATTTTTATTCATACATTCTCATTTAGTGACTAAATCACTAAATTAACTATTGGTGATTGTTTGTTTATTCTCTCATTAGCACAACTTGGTGGCAGTAAATCCCTCTGTCTTAGAAGTAGCCATAAACTCTGTTTTCCTGTCCCCGAAAGGCCCAAAACACAGGTCATTCAGCAAACTCAGGTAAAGATGCTTGATCCCCTTTCAATTTTATATTTAAAAATTTCTTTCTTTCTTTCTTTCTTTCTTTTTTTTTTTTTAACATTGTTAACCTTGGCATGGACATACCACCACTGAACTTTCCCTTTGACTTTCTTTTCCCTATAATGTAACTGGTCTTAAACATGGACTTAGGAATTATTCAGGGAATATGATAGGCTCTTCAATAAGAAAGGCTAATAGAACATTTGCTCAGCTGCCTTCCATCTTCCATGCTTGCACCATTAGTACCTGCACACACTAAAAGGAGATGGGGAGGGTACTCAGGTTGTAGGTAAACAAAGCACAAACCCTGTCTCATCAGAGATTAGAGAGCGAGATTTCTTTCATGCATTGTGTTGGCAAATAAGGCCAAGAAACGAAACCAGAGGAGATGGAAACAGAGACAGAGACCTCCCATATTTATTTAATGATACTTACACTCTGTATCCTGAAGACTAGTAAATATATTTTTAAAAGACAGAAGCTCACATTTCCCACAAAAAGATTACCTGTTGCTTGGTTTCTCTATTCTTATTAAAGTGATATTCCCAATAATCCATTTTGTACATAAACTTATTTTACCAGAAATCCTAGTTTTAAAGGTGAAAGCGTCTACTACAAACTGATATACACAAAGGTGGCTCTGACTCTTCCTTACTCAGTGATTTTCCAACAGTGTGTGTGTGTCCTTAAAGCAACTCACTTTCCTTTTTTATTACTCAGACTTCTGGTTCTGCATCCTTGCCTTGCTGTCTTTCTCTCTTCCCCTGAAGGCAAGGAGATTTCTTTTTGTTAAATTGCACCCTCCCCCTGCAGACTGCGCTTTCCTCCTCTGCACCAGGGTAGCATCTCTTACTAGTGCACTTAGTTTCTCTCCCTTCTGGTCTAGGGAGGAAAAAAACGGGGATTAACAGGATGGTAGAGGTATCCTGCAGGGATAGATATATCCTTATTTTCAACTTCATTTAAAGGAAGATGCAATTCTCCTGTGAAGATCACAGGGGTCCCCTTTTCTGATTCTATAAGCTCATGGAAGTCTATGGGACACCCTGTGTGGACCTTTGGGCTGGGAAAGAGGAATGCTCAGCTCCATCCAGGGCTCTGTCACAATCTACTAATAAGTAGGTTGTGTCTACTTATTAGAAGCTCTGTAGGCTCCCAGGCTGGAGCCATAATGCTTAGAGCATTATGGTGTGTGCCTTCTTGCTCTGTCCCTTGCAGAGGCAGCCTTGACTCCTGTGTGTTAAGGAAACCTTGCCCAGATGTTGAAATCCTTCCTGTTCTTCACCACTGAACTGAGAAGTCAGCTCCTCCATAAAGGTTTTCTTTAATTTTTCCTGTTTAGGGTTAATCTCCCCTTTCTCTATGACTGGATCACTTTTTTACTCTTATGTTTAAAGTATTTTTTCTTCTGACTTACAGTTCTGTTTTCCCCACAGGCAGTGTTTCTGATCCATTTTGAAGGGTTTTATGTAGTGCCTGGCATGTAGCAGGTCCTTAATGTATAATTATCGGTTATAGAATGTATCATTTATGTATTCTGTATGAGATACTCTCCATATACTCAATTCTTGATTAAAATATATAATGATGTAACATATTCCTATATTTCCATATGAATGTTGAAAGATCTCCAGCCCCCATCTAAATCTAAGTGAGAAAATTGTGAGCTGTTTCCTGCCTTTCTGGTATAATCTTTTGCTTGCAATAATTTTTCTCCAGAAGTGGATTTCTCACTCCGTGTATGGTCCTAAAGGATTGGCCAATTAGCCTTTGACTGATCCAGTCTCCCCACAACAGGGCTGCACATAAAATACCCTTGATTCTCATATCTCTCTCTCTCTCTCTCTCTCTCTCTCTCTCTCTCTCTTTCTCTCTCTTCCTGAAACCAGAGACCCTATGTCTCCAGGTTGAGAGCAAAATTAGGGCTGATTGTGTCTACTTATTAGTGGCCTAAGACACAGCAGGATATATAGAGAAGTCAAATACCGATGAGCCCTTTCCTAGGAAATTAAGGTCCTTATTTATAACTCACCTAAGGTGGTCTTCAGTACAGCCTGCTCAGTCTTGCCTGGAACTGCAGGGACAATAAGGCAACCAAGTGTGACTATTTCAGTGTATTTGGGAACCTGAGATTTTCATCATGGGAAAAAGAAGAAACAGAAGCAAGAGTCAATTCAAATTAGCACTGAGGAATATAAATTCATGACAAATCTTTAAAAAAATATACATTTTCTAATACCTAAACTAAAATGGTTTAGGAACTAACCAAGCAGCAGTGAGTTCCTCTGCCTATCCACGGTTCCTTGGAGATAGCTGATGGGCTTGGAGCAGCAAGGACACAGGACTAGGTTGGAATATCTTGACATAGCATGTGCGTCATGGAGGACAGCTGAGGGCATAACCTGCAAAGGCCCCCACTCCCTATCTGTGGGATAATTGGAGTACCCATGAGAGTAAGAACCAAAATGGATAATTGAAAGCATTAAATAATGTTTAAATCCAAGTGTTCATGATGATACTGAAGAAAATCTCTCATTGGTTACTTCTCAAGAATACTCAGTTCATTATTTTTAAAATTGTTTGCAAATGTATTCTGTTTGTCCTTTATTAACTCTATCTTGGGGTAACTAAATGGTTGGTGAGGGGAAGTTTCTCATTATGGAAGGACTTACTAATAATTGCCAAAGAAGTAAAGAATATTATAGTTATGCAGCCCCTGGTGAAAGAGTGGATCTAGATATGATCCTCCAATGGCTGCTAACATCACAAGAACAGGGACAACCTGGCGTGCTATGCCCCCTGATGGAAATGAACAACACTAAATCTTCTTCTTGCTAAAAGCTTGCTTCTACATCTGACCAAGCCTCTAAATACAAAATCACCAGACTTTGTATAGTTAGAGCCCTCAGATCAATGTGGTTGCCACCTGGTTTTGCAAAATGTTTTATTTACACAATCCTATGCATTCACTTATATATTGTCTATGGCTACTTTTGCATACAGGCAGAATAGTGTAGATGAGATAGAAGCCATATGGCCTCTAAACCCAAAACCTTTACTATCTAACTTTTTTAAGAAAATTGTTTGCCAATCCCTGCTCTGGATCAAGCTTACCACTTGTAGCAAATTCAGGAGAGAAAGAGAATATTAATTGATAGAATGAGGATAATTGTGGGATAATTGGAGTATCTGAGTAATTGGAGTAAAACCCATACATGGAAATTCTGCAGGAAAACTGACCTATTTTTTTTTCAATAAATATATTGTTAGGAGGAGTGGAGAAAGAGAAAGGAAGAGAAAAGGAGGGGAGAGAAGAGAAAGGAAGAGAGGGATTGCTTATAAACTTTAAAACATTTTAGGGAAAATGTCAACCACTTGCAATATATGGACTTACTCCTTACTAACTTAAAAAAAACTTGAAAAGCAAAGTTCAAAACACGTATTTTTTTTTGAGATAATCAGGAAAATGTAAACATTGGTTGTAAATTTTGTTTTATTAAGGAATTCATCATTTCTGTTGGGAGAGCTGTGTTCTGATTATTTTTAAAAATAAATCCACATTTTTTTCCAATGCCATGTTGAGATTTTATGGGTGGCCTAGTGTGCTTAAAGGGTTCCTTTTCCAGTTTCTGTATGTAGGACTTGCAAAGGTAGGACAGGATGTGGAGGAGATATAAATGAGGCAAGATGGGCCCTGTTTAAGCTGGTTGGTGGGTTAACGGAGTTCATCGTGTTGTCCTCTCTAGTTTTGTTAAATGTTAGAATTTTTTTTAAATAATAAAAACAGTCATGCATTTAGTTTGAGTGTTGATACCAGATCCCTCCCAGACCAATGTCTGGGCACGAGTGTTTTGAAAACAGCTCACCTAGCAAAGCTGCCTCGCAGAACTGTAGTGGTTCTGTTCTATCCAAAAGCATCTGGATGAAAGGTTTACTGGGCTGCATCCTCGGGTAAGAAGGTGGCTTTTTAAAATTTGTACAAATGCACAACGGGCACTGGAGCCATGTGATTCTAGCAGGTACTGAGGTCTGAGAACCATTGTGTTATCAGTTACAAACAACATTTGGACCAAGAATGAATTCAAACAAAACAATCTATACCCAAGTGGGAAGCAGCTAATGATTTAAGCATTGAGCCATGGCCAGGAGTTCTCAAATTTTGCTGCTTACATGAATTTCCTAGAGCTCTTAAACACAACAGTCAGGCTGCGTGT